GACCGATCAATAAATCAAGCTGATAATCTTTCTAAATTTATTCTTTATGTTCGGTTGACAGCTGTGTATGACCATCGTCCACAGCCACAGCATTAGCTAAATGTTGACCTTCATCACGTGCTGTCTCGTGGCACATATCCTCCTCTGGTCACCCACGGACCATGAAGAGTTTATGGTGGCAGCACTCGTGTGTAAACATGTCAAAGAGCTCTCTCAGATTTTACGTTTTCGCATGTTTATAGGAAACACGTCAGTACCAGACCTCTGGTGTGATCTAATATTTTCCATCTTACGGTGTTCATAAGATTGAAGCTTTAGCCAAGGCTTCCCACGACAAGATTTCCCCTCGATGTGTATTCGCAGTGAGGTCTCCAACTCCCTCTCGTACTCCCATAATGTCACTGATCTGGACTGTTAACCTAACCTAATCTAACGAAACCTAACCGAACCATCTCACCACCTTGACTATGGAACGCGAGGACACAAGATTGTTTGCTGGATATACAACGGAATTTAATTATACCATCAACATCTGGCAGCGTAACACCAATGCCGCAACAGCCAGGGAGGTTGTGCAAAGTTTCAAAGTAAACATTAATATTAATATCTTGTCACCATTTTTCAGCGTCAATAATTTTATAGTGTTCTCTCAATGTTCAGAAGTTAAATTACATTCCAGTATCGTAGGATTTAGTGTAAGAGACAATAATTCCTCTTCTGTATTGTTTTGTCCGACCTCACCTCCCCAGCCGTCTTATAAACCTAATCTAACCTAAACTAACCCAACTGTACCTCCCCAGTAAAGTCGCCTTGAGGCTGTATTGACTGATATGAAGTCACAACTAGTTTACGTTTACGGACGACAAATTAACAATAGCAAACAACATTTTAGAGGAACAAGGCGGTGATGAATGCAGCGTTCAATTTGGTCTATGACAAACGACCCCGTAAAACTGTTGATGAAATTATTGGTTTCATTCCCAGTTAATTTTATGAACGAAGATAAAAATAAATAGAATTTTTGCTTTGATTTAGTAAATATTAATAAATCATTTAATATATATTTTTTTAATACCTTTATCCAAGCTGATTGCCGCTAATGGTCGCATGCACATTATTTAGCAATTTACGTAATGAGTTTATGTATGTAAAAGGTATTATTATTTTTTTTTTTGGGGGGGGAGGGTGGAGAGGGGGTATAATAGTTGTTGAACATTGTGATGAACAAAATAACAATGTAAATACAGATCCACGTGTTGAGGGAACTTGTTGTTACTGTAGCATTAGAAAAAAAACTTGGTGATGATTATCTCAACGGTGTACGTCCTTCAGTGCACAAATAGGGCGTGGAGGAGGCAGGGAGTGATAGGAGGGTAAGAGAACAACGAAATTCCCACCACGCACGAGGTAAAACTGGTACAGATAGGAGGCGGCTGCTGAAATTTATTAAGATAGAAAACAGGGCTACGTGTACCGCCTGGCCACTCTCCATCTGGGGAAATTTCATAAAGTTTTGTGAGTAAACGTTTCCATTAACTTACGTTTTTTGTACGAGCGACGTTTTCATATTGCAAGGCATTTTCAAGGACATGTACAGTCGGGTTCAAAAGTTCTCCCCCGCTCTAAATGAAGCAGCATCGACCCCAGAGATGAAACAGTCAGGATAAGTCAGTTCGGAGACTCATTCCCGTGTGAATAAAGTTTCAACCACCACGGGGAGTGAACTTTTGTCCCTGGCTGTACAGATACATACAACATTATTAACCCCTGAAGGAAACTCTCAGACGAAGAACCTGACGGAGATGATAAGACCGTCGGGTGTCTTACTGAAATGGCCGCAGGAGGGCTAGTCACCGCCGACCCTGAATTAATTGTTATTTTGCTGGTAAGTCGATAATCTGGTGTTTGACTGACGATGTGCCAACACGTAAAACGATATAACATAATTTACCATAGTTTTGTGGAAAAATTACCAGGAGTATATCTTGTTTTCATCTGATGAGACTTGGACAGGATATGTGGCTCCCTGAACTGATGATCACACACACACACACACACACACACACACACACACACACACACACACACACACACACACACACACACACTACCTATTGTATCCCAACTTTAGATTAGATTTTAACTTTCCATTGAAAAGTTCTCCTTGAAGTCTTATGTCAGTAAAATTTTGTATCTTTTTGTATTATTTGCGTTTCGTATATCCTAACAGTTTTCAGATTACCTGTTCAAAATTCAACAATTATAAATATTTTCAAATGTGACTTGACTTTTATAAAAAATAAATGCCCAGTTTCTTATTAAAGTTAAAACACAAAAAATATACAAAACTGATGGAAAATTATTCAGTTTGGAGGTCAGTTCCTCCTGAGACCAAAATTTCCTCAGGAAAAATATTACATATGAACTGTGTAATATACCTTAATTTATTACGCATTGTTTTATCTACACATTAGGTATTCATGAAAATATTCTCATCAAAATTACTTACCACAACACATCAAAAACGAGGAATTTCCATTAACTCAGCACCAAAACTGTAACCACCATTCATACTGTAATACCCGGCCTTCTCCCTTACTGTACCTCAACCTCTGGCTTCTGTCCGACTGTACTACACCTGCCAGATACAATGACAGGTGTGATAATATTGCCTTGTGCCCCTGGTTATTGTTTTCATTGACGCACCTGTAAAAAACACACAAACAGAAGCTATAGTGTGGTGAGGGACAATGGTCACCTTCCCTGTCTTCATTTCAATGTGGCTGTTGAATAAGGAAAAAAATATGATGTCATTTTCAAGTCTTACAGAGTCCCCTTTACTAGTGCGTTTACAGGGGCTCGTCATATAAACATTCCATAAATCATAACATTGAGATAATTGTTTTAATATTTATTTTTTACTTTGATTCCATAGTATGTTTATTATTGCGAGTTTCCTTCTGTCGAATGTAAACAAACACAACGCTACCACACTGCATAAAACCTGACGAGCCCCTGTAAACGCACAAGTGATGCTTCCTGGCACTATTAATTTTTTTATTGGGAAACTATTATTCTTGGGTCTTTGTTTATCATTTTTTCTCTACCTCTACTATATATCTCTGACGTTATCCTATCATGTCTCCCACACAGGAAATCTTACATGATACTTCTTACGTTAAGTACTGGAACATTATACCCTGCCTGGCTCTTTCCTCTATACACTTAACCTCATTTTCTTAATTATCAATTACGTGTGAACGCTGATGGGGATTAATTTATCCTACACCTCAGCTGTTTTTTTGCCTTAGAGCTTAATTCCTTTTTTTTTTAATTACGATATGTTTGTAATATTCTTTTAGTGACGACCTGTTTTATCACTGTTCGTTAATACGCGAGGTTTCCACTTGACACGGTTTGAGAGAGTGAAGTTATGTTACAAAGGAATTTATTCATGTGCGCTGATTATGTTACTGCCACACAACATTTTACCGGTGTCACAGGTATTGGTTTAATTTGTCAGTTTGGTAAGCTTCCTGCTCCCGGGGTTTAGTTACCAAAGACATTCATTCACACTGTGTTTTAATTCTCTGTTTTAACTTAGGATTTCAGTAACTGTTATTTATATCCCCAACAAGTAGTGTAGGGTACAGTAAGTGAAGGAAACTTAATCAAAAAATGTCTTCTCCTAACCTAACCTAACCTTACTTGTCAACGTTAACTAGGCTAGAGACTCCCTGAAGACTACCTAAGGTCAATGGACTCCCCCAAGACGGCGCAGTAATTACGGTCGACGGATCATCACTCTGAGGTCGAGCGGCTCTCCAGAAAGTGATAATTAAAGTCGCCGGAACAAGACTCGGTTAAAGCGGTCAAGTTAAAGCGGCCAAGTCAAAGTGACCAAGTTAAAGCTGCCAAGTCAAGGAGGCCAAGTCAAAGCGGCCAAGTTAAAGTGGCCAAGTTAAAGCGGCCAAGTTGCAGCGTCCAAGTTGATGATGACAAAAATCGATGGAACACAAGACGTATATAAGTGAGTCCCATGGCGCCCTGATCTCTAGAAAGAATTAAATATGTTATACTTTTGTTGTTGGGAGACTTAATGAAGGCTTAAGATGCTGGAGGCGGCTTGTGGTGGGGTATCTCGTTATCCTTGCGTTCGTGTGCGTGCGTGAGTGCGTGCGTGTGTGTGTTTGTTTCTTTGTATAATAAATATGACGATGGTTATTTAATTATCTGCTGGTATAAAATATTAATAATTCTTAACTGATCCAACGAGAACATCGAAAACTCTTAGGCTAATGAAAATATACACAAATTATAAAACTTCCCATATTTTCACATAATATTTTTCATACATATCCTCAGTTTATGTTGAAAAAAATATTGGTCCAAAAAATACAAAATAGAAAAGTATGAGTGATTTATTTATTTTTTTTAGAGCAGAATTATATTAAAATAATATTACCATAGTATATCATTCACCTAGAGTTTAATATAAGTTTTTTATATAGATATTCTGTTAATATAATGTTAGTATACAACTACCCCCTTTACTACCTGATGTAATTAAGAGTTATCAGTAAATTCAAAACACACAATCTAAAACAAAGGTGTAAAACTAAGGGACTATCTTACCTGTGTGATATCTATCTCATTATAGGTGTATTGGTCTTGAAAAATAATATACTACATAATAGCAATAAATTTCCGAAGGCTTTTATATTTTATTTCACAACTAAAAAAGGATTTGTTTGCCATATGTGCTGTACCTTTGGCTTCCACACACCTCGAGTCACGTAACGAACCTAAGCTAACCAGTATTCTTTGGCTTCCACAACCCATGAGTCGCGTAACAAACGACCTGACTTTAGTAATCCCTGGCAAGCCTTCCTCCTCCCTCCCCCGGGCATCCTATAGCCAACGTTAATAACCGTTACTGTTTCCGGTACTGCTGCCGGCAACCGTCAAGTGTTCCCCGTACTGCTGCCGACATCTGTTAAATGTTCCCCGTACTGCTGCCGGCATCTGTCAAATGTTCCCCTTACTGCTGCCGGCATCTGTCAAATGTTCCCCGTACTGCTGCCGGCATCTGTCAAATGTTCCCCGTACTGCCACCAGCATCTGTCAAATGTTCCCCGTACTGCTGCCGGCATCTGTCAAATGTTCCCCGTACTGCTACCGGCATCTGTCAAATGTTCCCCGTACTGCTGCCAGCATCTGTCAAGTGTTCCCTGTACTGCTGCCGGCATCTGTCAAATGTTCCCCGTACTGCTGCCGGCATCAGTCAAACTGTTCCCCGTACTGCTGCATCTGTCAAATGTTCCCCGTACTGCTGCCGGCATCTGTCAAATGTTCCCCGTACTGCTGCCGGCATCTGTCAAATGTTCCCCGTACTGCTGCCGGCATCAGTCAAATGTCCCCGTACTGCTGCCGGCATCTGTCAAATGTTCCCCGTACTGCTGCCGGCATCTGTCAAATGTTCCCCGTACTGCTGCCGGCATCTGTCAAATGTTCCCCGTACTGCTGCCGGCATCTGTCAAATGGTCCCCGTACTGCTGCCGGCATCTGTCAAATGTTCCCCGTACTGCTGCCGGCATCTGTCAAATGTTCCCCGTACTGCTGCCGGCAACTGTATCATATGAGTTATTTTTCTCTCGGTCTCTTGGTTAAATGTTGTAATTAATTTGTACTTCCATGTTGTAGTATTCCTGAGCCATAGACCATCACCATATTGTTACATTACCCTGTCAATTACTTCTGTCAGTCTGGGTGTTTGTCTTTTGTTGTGGTCTGGTGTCTGGGTCTACCGGTGGAGGATGTCATCACTTGTAATTCCTTGTGTCTCTGTACAGTTTAGTGATGGCGTCGTGTATGGATATGGACGTATAAATATGTGATAGGTTTGAGGATTTCCTGGATACATGCAGTATTTATATAAACAATTAATACGTTGATCCAATAACCTCCCGTGTTGCTCCAGGCTGACCCCGTGTCCTACTCTGCTCTCTCTCCTCTGGCATGAATATGTAAAATAGCAGACTGTTGCTTACCTCACCGTACAGTTGCCGACTGCAGTACAGGGAACACTTGACAGTTGCCGGCAGCAGTACAGGGAACACTTGACAGCGGCTGGAGAACCATGGTCTAAGACACACATATATATAATAATCTCTGCTCGACACCAAATATTCATTATAAAAACAAAATTTTGCACAACTTCCAAAAGCCGTTTTTCTCTGTGACACCCAATTTGTTCTTCGTTCAAAATGAAAAATAGTACCACAGATAAAATTATTCTCACGCCATGCAAAAATAATTGGATTGTCAACAGTGTACAGGGTGGTAGGGATGTGCTCTCACGGTGGACACTGACGGGGGGATAAAATTTCTTGGAGGGAGCTCAGTGGATTGGTGGATTGGTTTGATATTGTGTAGCTGAGTTCTATACCTCCCGGGAACGATGCGAGTCTATTTCAGTTCCCCAAATTTATAAATGAAGAATAAAAACATCTGAGTCCTTTCGTGGATATTTAATGAGAAAAAATCTATCTTCTCTTTCATCATTTTCAAGTTCATGTTTTAGCCCGGGGATCTTGCTTGTTGTGTGTGTAACCACTCGTGTGGTTGCTTGTATATTTTAATGGACGAAATAATCATATTAGGGGAGCAGTTGAATAGTGGTCGGGAAGGTTATTACTGCTGTAGGGGAGGAGGGAACATCGGTGCTAGAACGGGAAATTTTACAGTGATTAAATGCGGTTTAATTTGCATCTGAAAATACAGTCGCCGGGGCTCTGGATGTGTGAGCAGGAAGAGGAAAGCAGACAAGTTTATTTATATGTGGTAGGTCAGTTGGGTGAAGAGGGTGATGAGGAGGACAGGTGGTAGCAACGTTGATGTACAGTACAGTAGACCTAACCTCCACACAAACACACACTAGTACACAGACCCTTTCATATTTCCGCATCCTTTTTTTTTTCTCCATCTTGCTGAGCGCTGACTTAATGAAAGGCCATTGAGGAAAGAGCTAAATACTGCAGTAGAAATGTGAGTAGTTGCTGGGCCTTCAGAGTTTACTGAGTATAAGCAGTCAACTTTGCCTTTCAAATTTCAGTTCTTAGCTCAAAGAATACCCGACATATGGCTCGGACAAGTAAGAGAGAAAACACACAAATACACGGAACAACCACTTGGGGCCTCGCCATACTCGACACCTTGAGACGATACATAAGGCATAGCTACTGTATTGGGACTGGGTCAGGTGGGAAGGACCTCCGCCGACCGTGCTGTCATCTGAGGGTTGAATTTAGTAGTTGAGAACCGCGCTGTCGGGGAGGACTTGACCAGTGGGTATTGATCAAGGACCTGAGGCCAGTTGGACATTAGGGACAAGGATAAAACTTGGTTGGTTATTGATGATAGGGAATACAACTAAATGTGTACTGAACGTACAGGTGGATGGATGGAGGCTGGTAGTTGATTTGGGAGTCGTGGGTTAAAATGGTAGAGGAACACACACCCACACACACACCTCTCCCTCCCTCCCATTGGGTTAATTGCCTGCATCACTCGGTTAAATAATCGTCCCTTACAACGCCAATTGTTTTTAATAGGTCATCAGTATTTACATCTCCCTCCCCTTGTTCAGAGGTATAATGCCGCTTACTCCCTGCATCCATCTCACTGCACGCGGGGTGGAGGAGGAATGTACTCCACTTATTTAGAGTACTTAGAGTACTTTCACTCACCACCACCCCCTCTCACCACCCCCTCTCACCACCCCCTCTCACCATCCCTCTCACTACCCCCTCTCACTACCCCCTCTCACCTCTCACCACCTCTCACCACCCCTCTCCTACCACCCTACCCCCTCTCCACCCCCCCTCTCTCCCACCCCCCCCTCCCACTACCCTCTCCACCCCCTCCCTCCCCCACCCCTCCCCCACCCCTCCCACCACCCTCCCACCACCCCTCCCACCCCCCTCCCACCCTCTCCACCCCCTCTCCCCACCCCCCCTCTCACCACCCCATCACCCCCCTCTCCCCACCACCCCCTCTCACCCCACACCCCTCTCACCACCCCCTCTCCACCCCCTCTCCACCCCCTCTCACACCCCCTCACCACCCCTCTATTACTGGAATAAAATCTTTTGACGTTAACTGAAGAAAATGCTAAAGGTGGCATCCCTATAGTGAAGGGAATAAGAAATATTTTGATTCTGTCCGGTATTTCTTTTCATAAGAGACATTTAAGCGGCTTCTTTTTCCTAGTTCTCAACAAGAAAATATTCAGAGAATGTAGTAACCGTGTTTATGTTTCACTGTAAAATTTGGTCGTGAAATATTCGCTACCTTATTTTTATACCAGAGGAAAATTCAGGTAAGAAAAGATATATATAATATATATATATATATATATATATATATATATATATATATATATATATATATATATATATATATATATATATATATTTGTTTTGTTTGTAAACCATTCCACAGGACGCTCGGTGAGGTAAAAGTGTGGAGAAGGAATGAACCCACCTACACACTGACACTGCTCTCACTCTCTCACTCCACCTACACACTGCTCTCCACTCTCTCACTCCACCTACACACTGCTCTCCACTCTCTCACTCCACCTACACACTGCTCTCCACTCTCTCACTCCACCTACACACTGCTCTCCACTCTCTCACTCCACCTACACACTGCTCTCCACCTCCACTCACCCACTACTACCCATCTTATCCACTGCCCTTATCTTGCCATCCACTATCACACACCTCGTCTACTGCCCCTACCACCCTGCCACCTAACTCACCTAACTACCTATACCCCACCACCCACCTTGTCTACTGCCTCTATACTGCCACCCTCCACATCTACTTCCTCTTTCCCACCTCTCTCCATATCTATTGCCTCTACGCTACCACCCACCACGACTACTGCGAGGAACAACACTTTGCCCATTACAAGTTTTAACATAGACGATGGGGTGAAGTGAAGAGGCGGCATCACATATTTTTACACTTAAACGATGAATCATTACCCTAGATTTATCAAAGGATTTCAGGTCTCTACATTTGTCTTTCTTTTACGACTGTACTGCCTCACCTAGTGCACCCAGGCGTGTAATAACACACACACACACACACACACACACACACACACACACACACACACACACACACACACACACTCTTTCAGCAACACCTCTCATGAATTATTCAGTATCAAACTAAGAGAGCGACGACTTATAATGTTTTAAATGTTTCCACGACAAACTTTTTAATGTTATCATGAGAGAAACGAGACAAAAGTTTATTAAAACAAAAATAATGTATTGTACTTTGCTCGTAAAATATATGTGGCGTCGTGTTTTTCGTTTTTATTCGATAGTAAATTGTTTTGTTTTTTTATTGTAACGTAAAGTCTGAAAAATAACTCGACGTTCACAAAATTTTAAACACACACACACACACACACACACACACACACACACACACACACACACACACACACACAAACGAGTAAGTGTTTCATAAAATATAATCGTTCCACAAAGCCTAATACATAGCATTCAATCAATAACTTTCCTCCCATGACAATGAAGAAAGTTAAGCACCTGGGGTTAGGTTAGGTTAGGTTAGGTTAAGTTAAGTGAGATGACAACAATAGTGATAATTTTTTTACCTCAGTGTTCCTTTATGCTAGTCGAATGTTTATTTACCCGGAGGAATTAAAGCGAGAGGGACGCTAGTATTTGTGTTGCTATTTTACTTATGCAACAACTGATATTATTTTTGTCAATTAATTATGAATATCCTATCTTGATGTTCATGTTAGTATCTGTATATTATATAGCAATTTGTAGGTGATTTTTTTTTTTTACTTTTTAAAATGAAGTTCCTCTGTATTTTTTTTTTAATTATTTTCATCCATATGGTTCAGGTCACGTCTCATTATGGGTAAAGTTTGTATTTTTTTTTATTATTGTAGTTCCAGCATTTGAAGCCTTCCAGTGATTCATGTTCTATCATATTTTCAATGTTTTTTTTTATGTATTCATCCGCTCATAAAACTTGAGGGGTCCTCTGATATTCCTTCAGAACACCGCAGTAAAACCCGCATGAAACAGGATGATAGTCATGTTGTTGAATGAAACCACAACAAGTGTTCCAACTGAAATGCAAAAAAACAATTATTTCCTTTGGTTCATTTACGTTCTGGAGTAGCGGCGGCAGTCATTGTTACGAGATGTGAGTGTTTATCCCGCCTCTGTCATGTTATTCCCTACATGACAAAAGTTATTGACAAGACATAATAAAACTTAAGGTCACGATACTTTTTTGGCTTGACTAAAAAAACTCTTTTTGCGCTTGTGAAAATGTATCTAACCACTGACTAAAGTTCCCTCAGATTGACCAATATTTACGCCAAAAGTTACTAAAAAATAATTCTATACATTTTAACTTGAGTGAGGAGAAATTAAGGATGGTGAGAAACATGACGATATAGGAGAGATCAAACTCGTAATGAGGAATATGACAAATAACAAACCAACCATTTTGTCTACAGAAACAATGGTTTGAGTTTCTAAGTGCCACAAGTCTCTATAGCTAGAATAATCACTTCTCGA